GTGTTGCTTGATCGACCTAACCCCCGATTTGACATATAGCTTATAAATGGTAAGATTGGTGTCCAACCCCGGCATGTCTTTATATTTCTAAGCAAATGCCTCACTAAAAGTTTTAACATTCAGATCAAGTATCCTTTATTTATAGTAATAAGCTTTAGCTAATAAAGATCAACTTTGGTGATTCTTTTTCATTAGCTAATTTTACTTTCTCTAATTCCTCACCTTGTGGCTTAGGAGTTTCCTAAAACTGTTGACCAAACTTTTTTCTCAATATGAATGGGTAAGGAGTTAGAGATTTATCGATCTTGTTTAATATATAATACATATAGCGAGCCTTTATCGGGTGGCTTAGGTGGTATGGGGTCAAAAGGATTATTCACTTCAAACCCCATACATTATCATAAATGGCAAATCCTCTTTCCGAAAGTGTGGTATAAGAGTCCACTTGAACCTTACTAATTCTATCATTTCTTCTTTTACCGCATTTATGAGTGGCCTTAACCTTGTCATCGGACATCAATTTAGTAGACATCTATTAGCTTTCTAACTTTGTGATCACCATCAACTATAAGCTCATTGAAAAATATTGCTTTTACAAAGTGAGTCTCTTGGTTCTTAAAAAGTGTCTTCGCACCAAAGATGAAAATATTAATTCCTCTCTAATATCCCTTCATATATTCATGATTTTTTTATTGAAGGGAACATCACATTCATAAAGGAAAAACCTTTCTATCAATAACAAATGGTAGGATATAGGAGCATCGTTGAAATGAAAATGAGTTGGGCATCGTATATGATCCATCCGAAAGTTTACTACTATATACCTTTAGGCACGAAGTTAGCATTGTCAAATCCTTTGATAATAGTTGGTGCTTAGATCATGTGTTTTTTTATCAATTCCCAACCTTTTAAAGGTAATGAGTGGCATGATATTTAAAGATGAATCATTATCAATAAAGATCCTACGAATGAGGCTATCATTCACCTTACTCTCTACATAAAGTGGATGGTTGTGATTAGTCTTTTCGACATAATAATTAGCATCGATGAAGAGCACATAATTCTCATGATTTCTTCCATTTTTCCAACTAGATAGTTGGTTGTAAAACACTCAACATATCGACCTTTAGAGATATGCATGATGGCTATAGTACCAACTTGTTTGGCTTTTTTATTAAAACCCAACAAATTGATAAAATTATGAAATTTTAGAATTTTTAACAATGATTGAATAATAGAGTTATCAACGTCATTGGTCTCTTTCATATAAGGTATGGTGTAGTTGGAAGCAACTTGGAAGACCCGCATACCTATTTTTTTTTCTTAACTCGGTAGGGTCATAAGAGATAGCATTTGCTTGACCATTATGGCAATTCGATGTTGTAGCAGATGATCCTCCGAATATTATCTTTATTATGAAGAGCAATTCCTCCTTATTAAGTTCATAATGGAAAATAAATCTCAAATGGTAGCAATCCTTTGTTAGGTGGTCCACGTATCTATGGTACTAATAATAATTGGGCTTTGCTTTGTCTTGTAGTGAAGATAGCTTCCTTCCCTCTAATAACTTGATAGCCCGATAGTTACCCATCGATCCAAAAGAGCATAAACCTTATCCATACTGCATGGAAAAGGTGGTGATAGATTAACCTCCTAAAGTACTAGCTTAAAGCTCACCCCTCTTAGTCTTTTGTTTGGTCGTTCATCAAGTCGTATAACATTCACTAAAAGACCCTTTTTGGTACCACCAAGAGAAGGATTAAAGTTATTCCTTCTTAAGAGGATAATGGAATTATTAGTATGACAAGCACTTTCCACTAAAGTAAAAAAAGTGATCAAGCTAAGATTCTCAAGGTGTACCATGTACTCTATGTACATATCATAGATACATAACTTAATAGTTTTTCATCAAAACCATCTTAAACATCCGAGTACGATCACAAAATCATTCAATAAACTCTAGCAAACCTTCTTTAAAATTTTGGTTCTCTCTCTCTCTAAATCGGACATAATCACCCTCTCATAAATAGAGAAAAACTTTTTGTAAATATTTTACACATATTTGCCCAAGTTTGGATAGATCTAGGGGTTAGGTTTACATACCATATGTATGCCTTCTTAGTCGGGGACTTAGAAAATTCTTTCAATTTAAAATCATCATCTATGCCATAAACACCTAAAGTCTCTACAAACTTCATAAGATGCTCCTTAGCATCCTTTTTTTTTCATTGAAAACTTTGAACTTGGGACTCATATAGTCATTTGGGTAAGGCCTTATAGCGATGTGAGTTAGATAGGAAAGTTTTAGATCAAACTCGCTAGTAGGTTTTACTAATTCTCATTCAAAAATTTTTTTAATCCTTCTTGATAAGATAATAATGTTGATCACTCGAAAATATCAATATAATGAGGTAGTTGGTGGTCTTATACAATTACACGATAGTTGTTTCTTAGGGGAATATCTTCCCTATCATCTAGTTAAACAAGCGAGTTTGCGATGATCATCAACATTAATAATGGGTTTAATACACCATGTGTCCTTGTACTTTAATGAAATTATTGTCACAACTCCCGTATCTAGATATAGTTTATAACCGATCTTATACTATTTGAAGTTGGTGTAAAATAACTCCTACGTTATTTTTTTCTATTAGTTTGACTAACTTTCGATAGTTGACTCGTGAATGACCAATACAATATCGACACTCGTCATTTTAAGGGTGATAACATATATATATTTTTTAATTATGTTCTTCCTAACTTTGCTTTAAGTTTAAATGATTTAAAAAGAAAGATAAAAAATAATTCAACTAATCGTGGTTTGGTAATACAAGTATAATATCTACTTACAATTGTACATAACTATTAAATTTCTATAGCAAACCTAAATCTCTAAATCGATTACCCCTATATTTTTCTTCTTTTATAGCAATTGAGTAGCAAATCTTTTCTAATTTATTTCCTGATATAATTCATCACTTACGTTGTATTTTTCTTCTTCCTCATCTTACTTTTCTTTCTCATCTTTTTTTTCCTCAACAATATCAAGTAGAGCAAAATATGATAAATTATGCTCTTTTGTTCATCAAAAACCCATGTAGGATTATAAGTGTTCGGAAATGAGGTGTTATTGTGGTTTAAAGACACCAATATGGACATCATGGACGAATGAAACTCTAGGTTCATGATTTCATGTTTATCATAAAGGAAAAAACAATTGATGTGGTTTCTATGAGTTTATTAATCCTAAAATTAGAGAAACGAAGCAACTAGAGATGTCGTTAATAGGTTGAAGATATGTGAAAGGGAATTGCATGTTACCAATCAAAGATTGAGAGATGAGTTAAAGAAAGAAGAAAAAGAGTATGCATTATTATTTGCTGAATATAATTTTATGAAGTTATGCTATGAGAAAGAAAAAGAAGAATTGGTTAACAAAATTGAAGAGTTGGAGTTACAAATTTCAGACTTAAAGGTTTCTAGAAGTAAAAAATTATTAAACATGGGAATAAATTTTTTATGTATTGTTTGTAATATGGTTTGTTTTTCACCAAATGAAGGATTGATGTAATGCTTCGAATTATAATTAAAGTATTTTGTTATTTTGTTAAACTTCAAATTGTAGTATATTATTTAGTTTGTTTATGAAGTTTATGTTTGCTGATGTGGTTCTTGTAAATTTAACAAAATGTTGAAATAAACATATTAACTTAACAAAATTAATGGAATGGAATTTCATAGATCTTTCTTTATAAAGAAAGTTTCAAGTACAAAAAATATATATATGGTGTTCAAGAGGTAATTCATAGTATCTAACCTCAAGTAAATAAAATAAATAAATAAATATAACATCAATGGTGTTTAACTAACATTTCTCCTTGTTACACTTCAAGATACTTCAATTGATCAGTTGTATTTCTCTATGTTACTCTTATAGGTAATTTAGTAGTAGTAATGTTGGCATTATGTACTCTTTTTCTTTTTTTGTTTTTAAAAATTGGTGTAACTTCTCCACTAGTTTCTATCACAATAACAATACCTTTATTGGTTTTTCCAATTTCTACAAGCATAATCCTTCATTCTTTGAAATTCATCATCAACTTCATCAAAGAACACATTTTTCAACAATCTTAAACTATTTTTACATTTATAAAGACCGACAAGTATAATACAGACTCTTTTAAAGTTCCATCCATCAATTCGAAGCATGTATTCTTGTGATACTAATCGTTCTCTTTTTAAAGGGCTTAACAATTATCTTGTAATTGACCAGCCTATTATGTGAGGTTGAAATACATGTTTGCTCACTAATATAAATTCCGACAACCCAGTTTCTAGTATCCAAATATAGAGAACATAAAATCATCCATTTACAATTATCATCTCTATATATAACCCTACATCTACTAGATAAGTTTTCTTAAATTTTAAGTTTCTAAAGTTTGTTATAACATGCTTTATAATTTTATGTATAAATATCTTCTTATTTGGAAAAATCTTTCCCGAGTTGAAAGAAGGGTTTCTCCTCATTAGGATTGAAGTATTTTCTTTGATTTTACTCTCCTTGTAGGTTTTGCATCACTCTCATTTTTTATGCTAATGTAAATGAAATTATCATTAGATTTAAAATCTATCTTCTTACCCTTTATATTAACAACATAATCATAATCACCACTAACACCACCGTCACCATCATTAACCACATCTTCACCTTTCCTCTTCTACTTCTTCTCTTTTCTTTTTCATCTATTATTTATTTTTTCTCATTATTTTAGCTTTCTATTCTACATAAATAGTATCGCACTCATCATTAATTTTTTATTTATGTTCAACCTTATCCGAATCGGTAGTATATGTATTCCCTTTTATATCACTACACTAAACTAACCCCGTACAACTCCCTCTTTACCAACCACCATTTCTTGTAAAAATTCAGTTGCCTTCTTCTTTATCTCTTTTTACTCTTCATCATTAGTATCATTTAAATAATCAAGATTAACTTAATACTCTACCTCTTCAATATCTTTTTGATTTATTCGTATGTCATCATCATCTATGCCCATATTGTCTACACTATGACCAACACCTATATTGCTCTCAATAGCACCATCGCTATCCATATTGTATTCATAAGCATCACCACTATCCACATTCATATTGGCCTTAGCAGTACCACCACTACGATCCATATTGGCCTCAACAACACCACTATTACCCACATTGTATTCATAAGCATCATCATTGTTCACATTCACATTGGCCTCAACAAGCATCACCACTACCGTCTACTTGGCCTCAACAACACTACCACTATTATCCATATTAGCCTCAACAAGACTTGTCATTATGCACATTATATTCACAAGCACCACTATTACCCATATTCATATTGGCCTCAAGCATCACCATTATTGTTGTCTATATCGACCTCAGCAACACCACCATTACCCACATTGATCTCAACAAGACCACCACTACTCATATTGTCCTTAGCAGTACCACCACTACCTATATTATCTTAAGCCGATCCACCACTCCTATTACACTCACCCTTACTTGAGCCACCCACAACATCATCACTACCCTTATTACCATAACTACCCTTACTAACATCATATTCTAGAGTCATAACAACCCTAATCCTAGTATTGCAATTACTCTCTCCTATACTCGTATGGACTAACCTTCGATCCTTGTAATTAATATCTAACCCAAGCATACATAACATTTGGCCTCTCATCGAAAAAAATAGATGGTCCTTTTCACCGTGTTTGACATAAGTTTAAGCTTGTTTACCCATAAATAAGAAACTTATAATCCCCTTAATACACGAATCATTTGAATCACTAATTGTCCTTAAGTTTTATCTACTCGTGGAACCACTTTTTACCACTATATAATATAGTTTACCAATATTAGAATACCTATATCCATACACAGTCCCATCAAGCTCCCAAAACACAGCTTGTTTGGTTAATTACCTTTTCTACTACATCACCCTCAATGTATTCTAAATTATTGGTCCCGTTGAACTTTCCTCCAATATAAAAAGTTAAAATATATGACATCTTTAATCATATCCTACACAAAGAAAAATAATATTCTTTGTATGAATGGTTCACATATAATTAAAAAAGGAGACAAATAATAAAGAAACACCGACTAGAGTACCTCAAGAAAAATCTTAAAGAAAAAGCCAATGTTCTATCCTGTTTGCATGGTCACAGTTGGATAAAATCCCTCATATAATGCTTGCTTGCATCAAAGTGTAAAACACAAATTTTGAGAGACAAAAGAGATAGAAAAACGAAGAGGAAAATTAAACCTTAATTTTCTTTGAAGAAATGGTAAACGAAAGATAGATAAACGATGAGAGAAGGAAAGACAATGAAAGATAAAGAGATAAAGAGATACTTAGAGATAGACGAAGAACACGTAAATGAGATGAAGAAGAACATAGAGATGACAAAGAACACAACGATGATTAAGAAGATGGAAAGATAATTGACGAAGAAGATGGATAGAAGCTCAATGACGAAGAAGATGAAAAAATTAGGTTTTTTTGGATAATTGTTTAGTTTTGGTCAATTCATTTTCTATTGAATCGGTGTTGCTAACAACAATTACAATTATTGTTTTTTTTTAAATGATTTAAACTTAAAACAAAGTCGTGAAGCATAAAATAAAAATAAAATTACATTTTTACCCTTAAAATGACAAGTGTCGATATTGTATTGGTCATTCATAGGTCAACTAACGAAATTTAGTCAAACTAATAGAAAAAGATAATGAAAGAGTTATTTTATTCCAACTTTCAATAAGTATATGGTAGGTTATAGACTATGTCTAGGTACGTAGGTCGTGATGATAATTTCATTAAAGTACAATAAGCACGAGCTATATTCAACCCTATTAATAATTAACGGCGTCATATTCGAGGGACAATAGTTTATGAGGTTTCGCTCACAAACAACGGTTATGTGGTGTTACTAAAAACATGTATAAATACAACATTGTTACTTTGAAGGACTTTGAACATCCGTTGTTGTTCTTGTTATAATTTGAGTTGAGCATCCTAAAAAACTTTCAAGATGTCAGTCATGGATCGAAGACCGGAATGTGAAATAGTTATGGCGGGGACTCGAGCAACGGGTAGAGGTAAGCCTTCTCCTAGTAATACCGGTAGTGGTGGGAAGTCGCCATCGCTAATTTGGGGATTTGGAGGATTATTGACATTCTCAATATTAAGCAACCGGTGTTATCAACATTGTGATTATGATCATACGGGGTATGATAATTGTTGTAGGTGGTTGAGCTAGTAGCAAGATTGGTGTTTTTCTTAGTTGTCTTGGAAACAATTATTGTTCTTCATAATCACTAACTCTCTAGTGGAGTTATCAAAATATATGGGAGGTTCTTAAGAGTCGATTAGATGACTAGTCGATAGGCTAGTCAAAATATAGAGAGAGCTAGTGTTATGACTTGTAGAAGCAACGATCAACCAATCTAGTAGAAAGGATGTAAATAGTAAGAGATGTGGAAGGAGAAGTTGGCGATGCTCGCGAGACGCAAGTCATATGGGTGACAAATGGGTTGTAAGTCCAAACGAGACGAGTTTTAGGTGTTATCTCGGTGTGTGAATAAGAGGGCTTTGAGATGAAGAGTTCAAGTGTTTTTTTTTCTTGCTAAAAAATTAAAAGTTCTAAAGTCTAAAATTCTTTTATGCAAAAATTATGATCCCCTCGTAAAGATATGAGATTAATAATTATAGTAAAAGAAGATGACTCTTGATCGTTAAGATCATGCCACATCATTCAAATTTGAACGATCGGATGTAACTTGAAATATTTAGGTTTTTTTACCTTAACTCGCTTCAACTTATTAGCAAATGCTAAAAGAAATGACAATTCGACATTCCTTTAACGAACTCTATTCCAAGTTTACCAAGTCAATCTACCTAATGCATCACAATAATAAAGTATGGACACCGACCTTGTCGAATACCTATATCCATCCTTGTCATCCAAGACCTTGTGTTGAGTTAGGTCAATTCTTAGTTCAATTCATTTATCGTGCAATTTGGAACTATGTCAAAGCCAAAGAAAAATAAAATAAATTAATATAAAATAAAAATTAACTAAATTAATTAAAATATTGAACATATACGAGTTTAGACTACATCCTTTCTCTTTACCTTCTCTTGCTAGTAAAGTATAAATTAATCCCTTCTATTTTGAAAAATAAATCAATTAGTCCTTCTAGTTTTAAGAACTAATTATTTAATTTTTTTTATTAGTATTGACTACAATTAATTGAATATTTTTTATTTTATAAAATATATTATTTTTCATCAATCTTTTCATATTTTTATTTATTTTATTCCTTTCTATTTCTTTTAAAAAACAAATTAAAAAATAGTAAAAATGACTAAATAATTAGTTTTTGAAACAAGATGACTAATAAATATTGTTTCTCCAAACCAGAGACTAATTTATAAATTATTCTTATTGTGCACGGAATCTGAAGGAAAAAACAGGCGAAAAAAAAAAGAAAAAGAAAAAGAAAAGGGGCATACTCTTCATAAAGATTAGCAGACAACATTCTTTACATTAGTGTAAGAGCTAGAGTTACAAAAAGGCCAAAGCCAAATATCAACAAAGAATCTGACTTTCTAGAGCTACAAAAGTGAAGACTACCTACACAGCAAGTTAATGCATGTTGTTATGGTTCTGTTAATATCCCCACCCCGAAGCATTCCGTTGGCTTGACTGTGATGCTCTGGGGAAAAAATGGAAGCTCTACCTACAGATTCTCAAGTTACGAAGAATGGGACTAGGTGGAGAGTAGTGTAACGAATATTATCATCGTGCTGCTAACTAGTATCATCATCCAACCACTGCTAGTCCGGCATTCCTTATCCGAATATGAAGCCGATCCTAAGAATTTTGAAACTTTCGCAGAAACTAGCATGATAGTTGAAAAGCACACAAAGAAAAGACTCGCGGCTAGCACAGCGAGTTCTTTACTTTCCAGATTTGCTTGATCATTTGCAACCTTTTCAACGTCCAATCTGCTGAGAGAAAAGAGGGGGTGAAACAAACGGGAAAGATTGTCAGCCAGCAAAGCAAATGATGCACACAGTGAATAAATGGCAAAAAAGTATAAAACAAAGTGGAAAGCAACAAGATATTAGAAGTTGAGGATTGGCAAATTACTGTAAATTGTCATCTAGATGCTAAAAGAACCAAGGATTATATAAACAGGGAATAGCATGGTATGTAAAAGAAAATGCTTGATGTATTTTTCGCTTGGGAAAATGGAATTGGCTAGGACAACTTGAATCAATCAGAGATAGCAGACATTCAGGAAATATAATAACAAAAAATAATTGAAAAAGATGAATTTTGACTATAAGATAGAGGTTTCCCACCTTAGCCTTCTATTTTCCCTAGCAAATGCATCCATACTAGATGAGACACCGGCTTTCCACGACTCAAACTCCATGAGCACTTTATCCTGAAAATGAAAAAACAGACAAAGGTTAGGCACTTAGGCAATCGCAGAAATTCCTTCTCGAATTTTTTGGAAGTCGAGCAGTACCATGTTCTCCCTCCACTCCATTAGATCTCTAGTTTCTGTTCTGCTCTTCTCCACAAGCAACGAGATCTCGGATAGCTCTTCATCAAGCTTTGGCAGAATATCTCCTTTTCTCTGATTTATTTCTTTGATATACTCCTCAAGCATAGTTAAACCTAATTCAAGCGACTTCACCTTCTGCATCAAGATCTTTAGAACAGCGTCACCTGGTTTTCTGCCAATTGGTATCTGTCTAACTTCAGTTACAGGATTGGCAGTCACGCTTATACTCTCAGGATTCTTCATCACATTGGAATTGGATTGTTGAATATCAGATATAATCTCTGTCCTCATACCAGCATTGTCAGCCCCACTGCTAATTTTTGCAGTACTTTCCTTGTCAGTTAGACTTAATTCTGAGTTTAAATGTGGTTCTGCAGTTGAATTAGGCTTCGGCAATTCAATGGGAAGAAGTTCTTCAGATGGCACAAAGAAATCTTCAAGCATCCGCTCAATTGCATCTACTCCATATACCTCGACAACACTCAATGTGCAGTAAAATTCTGACCCGTAATGACTAAGTAAATTCAGCTTCAAATACCTCACCCATTTGGGTTCAGGCAGTTTAAAATCTTGAAGGTGCTTGACATTTGCAGCCACGAAACTTCCCAAAGGAGTCCAAATTTCGGTTGGATAATTTAAACTTCCGGATAGTTCAAAATCCTTGAAATTGGAGGAATGATGTTCAAAATTAGCAATTTTAACAACGTCAACCAGTGTCTCCTCTGAAAGCTCAATCACAACAAACTTCTCTACCACAGAACAAGGGTTCCTCAGGTACTTATCATGATCCTTCCCCAGTATGTTACATGCTCCCTTAGCCTCCTTATTATATGCAAGCACCTTTGCACCCTTAGTCACAGAAGCATAGTTGTACTCTTTTCCATCGGGCTCAAGCCGGTGGGTGATGTTAGCCAGTTGCTTGGGCACAACTTTGCTTTTTCCTTGTCTCGTTAGGTTCCGGAACTCGTCAAAGTTGAGATAAGTCAAATGCTGAGGCCTCCCACTCGATAGTTCTTTCGGTTTATCTGTCTTCAGTTCTTCTGGATTCCTCATTTTACACCCTGAAGATCCATACCCTAAAGCACTAAAAATTATTTCTTCTAATCTATTTGTCTCTAGAAGTGGGCACTTCTGATTTCCCAAGTCAGTATGAACTGTAGCATTGTTCCTGCTGGTAGACAAATTGAACTCTAGCAGAATTCCATTGGTACCTTTATTGCTGCTATTTGCATCATTTGAATGTGTATCCCCATGAAGAATGTCTTTGAGATCACTAGAAAAAGGTACGCTACTGTTATGAAGAATCAAATTCCCTGAAAATGTATAATCAGTGTCAATTGAATATAATGGCCAATTTGGCACCCCTATAAGATGGAAAAAAAAAAACATCTTCAAAGGAACAGACCATAAACATAAACGTGTTAGATGCTAGTTTGACCGTCTTGCACAATTATTTGGTTAATTAAACAAGTGATGATGAACAATCGTCATCACGTTCATTATCTTAGAAATTAAAAGGCCTCAACTTTTTCATTAATATTTCCATTCCATCAATTTCCTAGCAACCAACACACAATAGCAGAAAATTAAGACATTATAGTTGCATATAAAGACACAGGAGAAAAGGGCTTGCCAGAAATTCAAAATAAAATAATGGGTTGTAACCAAAAGAAAGAAGAAAATAAGCATGAAAAAGGTCCCAGAAAAACGGGTAGAAAAAGAAATCTCACCTTGATTTTCATGACCATCACAGAACAAGAACAGGAGACACCAAAGTAGGAGAATCAAAGAGAAACGCAGCTCATACAAACTTCCACTCCTTGAATTGTTGCTTCTGTTTTTGTTGTTTTGAAATGCAATGGCGTTTAAGAATGAGAAACCTTGTCGAGGGTTTTTCATGCCTCTTCGTCCGCACAGAAATAAAGGGAGCTCCCTCTGGCTATTTATTATTATTATTTTTTTTTGGGCTGTCTTGTCTCTCGACGTCCTCCCTTCTCCTTTCCTCTCCTCTCCGTAGAGATGGGAATAAGTATGGTGGTGGTTTCCGATTCTGCTTCGGATTGTCACATGAATCTTTCGAAGGATTATTACAAGAAGTCGGATGTTATGTGGTCCAACTCCCAAACTTACGGAAACCAACTACTCGCCACTATGCTGCCATTTAAAAGGCACCTAATTCGGGGTCCTTTTGTTTACCAAACCTTCTTTTAACTAGACTTTTGTTAATTGCTAACGGCCTCTTCCCATTTCCAAGGGCGATTTTGGAAGATTGTGGCCATTACTTTCTAAGAGTTTTTTTTTAAAAGGTAATAAGTAAAATAACCATTTGCAAAGCAAAACTGTTAAAAGGAGAAAGAGAGAAGGAAAAACAAAAAAAAAAAAAATGCAGAAGCACTGGCATGGGAGGCATATTGGACCAATGATGAACGCATTATAACCATGCACGATACCAATGGAAACCTACAATTACGGATGACAAATTCAAATTGTCAGCGTGGGTTTGTAGTGTACCTAAGATTACAATTACAAGATACACTAAAACAATACGGAAAAATACTATAGCACTTTCACTATTCATTTTCTGATCACGTTTTTCTTTTTTTCTTTTTTTTTCGGTTTGGTTGCTGCAGTCGCTTTTTTTTTTTTTTCCTCCCTCTCTTACTGCATTTTTTGAAGCCACTCTTTTGGCTTTAATAAATTTTACATTTTAATTCTTGTTTTATAATTTTTTAAATTTTGATCATTAAAATTTTATTATATTTAATTTTTATCTCTATAATAAATCAGTTTTTTCCCCTCTTGCTGCTTTTTTTAAGCTCCTCTTTTGGCTTTGAGTGAATTTTATTTTTATTTTAGTCCCTATTTTGTAATTTTTTTATTTTAGTTATTAAAATTTTATTATATTTGATTTTTGTCTCTATAATAAATATTAATTTTTTTTTAATTTTGATCATTAAAATTTTATTAGATTTGATTTTTGTCCCTATAATAAATCAGTTTTTTTCTCTTCCAATATTTTTTTTAAGCCCTTCTTTTGGCTTTTAGCGAATTTTAATTTAATTTTACTCCCTATTTTGTAACCTTTTATTATTTTAATCATTTAAATTTTATTAAATTTGATTTTTTTCCTTATAACAGTCTTATTCTTTATAATTTTTTCTTTTAGTGAAAGTTTTTTATTTATCTTTCTTTTATGATCTTTACTTTGTTTTGATCATTTAATTTTTATTATATGTAATTTAATCTCTATTTTTTTTATCAAATTCTCAATTTGATAGTTTTTTTCTCTCTTTGTTTTGGATGATCTCTCTATCTCATTAACAAATTACAAATGAAAAACATTGGTAAAAATTAATCATTTAAAATTTAAAAAACTACCATGTCATTATTTTAATTACCATTTATTATACATATTTATAATAAAATACATATTTATATCAAACAATATCTAAAAAACAACATTATATTACTCAACTTTGCGGACTTTTCGTTTAATTAACCTCTGCAGCAAAATATGAGATATATGTTTTAGTTTTTTTTTTTTTTTGAATTTTTTTCACATGATCCTTTTAAATAATTATTTTTAAATTTTGTATTTTATATAAATGAACACATAAAAATGCTGTATAACTCACCTTGATTTCTTTTTTTCTTTTTTTGCATGACCCTTTTAAATAATTATTTTTAAATTTTTTATTTTATATGAATGAACACATAAGAATATTGTATATCTTACTCTACAACAATGCACGGAATATATGCTAGTTGGATCTGAAACATCTATAATCATAGAATCAAGTTGGGAGCTTTGTCGTAACTCATAAAATTAAAGCATGAAAATAAATGAATCTCTATCCCTAAATCACAACATTATACGATAAAATCTCTAAATTCCTTAAATAAAACCATCAAACAAATCCAAAATGTAAATCCATATTAAAAAGATTATATATGTATCAATAAAAAATTAAAAAAAAAAATTGATAAAAATACCGGGTTAGACATGAGTTGGGTGAACTCTTTGCATGACCACAAATTCAGCCCAGTCAAATCAAATTGGACTTTACCTACATTTGATTTGACCCCAATAAAACCAGGTTAGAATCTGACTAACCGGATCAAGTGACGCCAATAACCCAATGGTTCGGTAAATTTGCCATCCCTACCTAACATTGCACTGCTCAAGTGAATCCAAACTTAAACCATTCCAGGATAGATTAAGCATTTTTTTTCATCAATTTAAGTTGATTATTCCTTTGGCGTAACAGAAGCCGCCTTTCATGAGGAGCTTTCATTAATATACAGATGAAACTAGTCGAATGCGAAATAATTATGATCGTCTTTCTTTACTATAAGGCAAAATTTCATGCTTCTCACTCATGTTCTCATCCAGTGGTGAACTGCCGGTGAAATGGCGGTGATCATGGGGTTCTTCCTTCTGATGTCGTCTTTAACAGGGCATAATCTAATTCATTCTCTAGTGCTTTTTTGAAGAAGGGAAGGGTTCCTGGATTTTCCTCCTCCAGAAGAAGACCTAACCGCGTTTGAGCAGGGTAATTGTTCAAAATATAATCAATTTCTTCTCCACTGATTTCCTTCTGGTTAAGAAGAACCTGTGGCACAAAGTACACAAAAAATTAGTCAGTTAATTGGCAGCTCCCTCTACCATGCAAAACAACGAGCACCATTGAGTCTATCTCATCATGTAAACAACTTTCTATAGTTTGACAAATTTTTTATATTTAATGCCATAGTTTTCTTCAGTTCCCATGATGAAGCTGAAACGACATTCAAATCTCAGCAGGTTCCATTTAATGCCAACCCAAGCCATTTTGAGAAGGAAATCCTTCAGAATCTTACATACCTCAATATGTTGTCTATATTTTGTGGACATAATACTATTTCTACTTGCAGTGATTAATTTCACCAGTCAAGATATTTTATCGATCTTGCTAGGAACAAATAATGCAGATTAATATAGCACATGGCCTTGCATCCAATTCACAGTATTTGCAGGCAGTAACAAGATTCATCCTTTAACAAACAAACAATGATATCCCCTAGAAAAAGAAACAAAACCAATCATAAGAGTTTTATTGACACCTAGACCTTTTTTCAATTTTTCAATTTTAACTGTCAAAATTTAGAAGTCAAGAAAATATGGAACACAAATTGACACACTCCACATTCAGTTACCTTCACAGCTTTGAGCAAAGCTGCATGGTGTCGTTTTAGCAAAGAAACTGTCCTTCCATACATATCAGTTATCAGCTCCTCAGTCCTTTGGGCAATTTGATCATCCAAATTGAAGTTGATAGGGGGTTCAATTAGGTCATAGTCATCATAAAGAGATCCTTCAAAATCCAGCCGTGGCCCCACAAATCTAACTTTCTTTCTCCAAGGAGGGGGTTCTCCATGTATCACCATTGGATTCTCCAAGTTCCATCTGTTGAAGGATGAAAGAACAAGACCGTACATTAATGCCAAGTAAGAAAGTGGGCAATCAAATAGTCTGGCAGGGAATTAAGGTGCTACATGGTTATAATTTTACGAGCAAGCCATGATGCATCTGCAAGGTAGGAAACTGATGCCCTTGATGTATCCCGCCCATAAATGACCTCTTCAGCTGCCCTCCCTCCAAGAAAAACCTTCACACAGCTATTAAGTCAAGAAAAAAAGTATCCTGAGAAAAGAACTCTTAGCCCTAGACAAGACAGCCTTAAGTTCAAACCTGAAGACGATGCAGCAGCTGTGGTAAACGCTCAAACATGTATGATTCATCATCAAGCCGGTGAAACACAAGTTGTGATAATGTCTGCGCAACTACTACACACAAATTAGCAGATAGGCACAAACACATACCTAAGATAAGTTTAAAGAGATTGCATTATACAGATCAAGTCAGAGAAATAGACAGCTAATGCAGTAACCATCAAATTATACGACAATGGACATCTCATCTGATGATAAAACATTTTGAAGGGAGTATCCAGTATGCGTGCATCTCTACTGGGCATAATAACAAAGGTGTGCAAGGAAAAGCTTTAAGAACTGAAAGAAGAGGACGGTTATTAAAGGAACAGAAAAGGGACCTGACCGCGAGGGAGAATTGAAATACGACCACAACATTCAACTTTTGCATTTTCATATCGCCTGAGCAAATGAGACATCATTGCAACTCCCAATTCAGTAGTAGCTCTACGGCACTGCCCTTGATGACCCAATTCTATTCCTACACGCTTTGGTCCAACAGTAAGTCGGTCTACTGCATCGTCCATGTCTGACTGAAGAATTGCTGCATGCCCTTGCCTGACTGCCACAAGAGCAGCCTCTTGGACCAACTGAGCCAATCTTGCTCCAGTCCATCCTGATAATTGCTCAAAGGATATCAGACATTGAACACGAAACACAACTAAACCCCAGAGAAAATACTTACCAGGTAAATTTTTTGCATAAGTGGATAAATCAACAGAATCTGACATTTTCACTTTGCTTGCATGGATTTTCAAAATTTCCAATCTCCCTTTAGCATTAGGAGGTCGAATTCTTATCTGCAAAGAGGGAAAAAAAGGAAAATGAAAATAATAGGTTAAGTTGAAAACATATTTTAACTCTATACATCATCAACAATGCATAAAATTTCTTGGGTACTAAAAAGCAGAGCATAAAAAACACCTTGCGATCAAAACGACCTGGCCGAAGAAGTGCTGGATCTAACAAATCCCTACGATTTGTTGCAGCTAAAAATATAACACCTTTTCCAGTGTCAAACCCATCAAGCTCTATCAAAAGCTGGTTTAATGTAGTTTCCCTCTCTTGAGTGGCCGCATTATAGAGGTGGTCAGTAGATTCCTTAAAAATCCCTTGACGCCTGATCATGCAATAAACGGACAGAAATCATTCAAAATTGTGATATCAAGTTTAGGCAGTCTAAAGTTCCAAGACTATAAGGTTGACAGTTCAATTAACCACAAGATACAGTGATGGAACTTGGACAGTGCTATGTTATGAAGATATGAATTCCTCTGGGGTAAAAGTATTCACTTTGTGTAACCGACAAGAACATCCATACCTAGTAGCCAATGCATCAATTTCATCAATGAATATAACTGATGGTTTATTTACCTGCATGGAAAAAGGACATTCTCAATGATTATTTCAAAGCAATCGGAAACCAAGAATTACTGGATGCATGGAATTAAGCCCAGAAGCTTTCAAGGACTATACCGTATCGGTACAACTAATATTGCAAGTTGAGAATCTTTTCCATAAGTAAAGTAGGACATATCCACGGCACAGTAACTCTTTACAGAGATAAAAAGAATCCGAATATACATTCCAAAAAAATTGATTTCCTTGATATCTAACAGAAGCAATTATGAATAGAATTACTGTTGTAAAACCATGAATCTGGACTACCAGACCATCAACAACTGACAACAAGAAGGCATGATTAATGATACACTGCAAGCCAATACATAAGTGTAATTACCTTGGCTCTCTTGAAAAGATCCCTGATACGAGCAGAACCAACACCAACTAAAACTTCAACAAATTCAGATCCAGCCATTTGGTAAAATGGAACTCCAGCTTCACCTGCTATAGCCTTTGCAACCAGGGTCTGCAAAATTATTATAAACCTTTAATTATGTATAGAAAATCTCACCATGAAATTCCCAGACTGGCTGACCAACAGAACTAACCTTGCCGCATCCAGGAGCACCTTCCAAAAGTACTCCATGTGGAGGCTTTATTCCCATTTTATCAAACAATTCTGGATTCTTCAAGTACCTCACCAACTAATCAGAATATTGTTAAAGACCCCAATAAGCTTCCATAGAACAAAAATGCAAATTTATTCCAATGGGATTTAAGAAAAGACATCCATAAATGATTATCAAGGTCATGTGATATAAATTAATAAACAGAATTCACAAGCAAGACATCGTTAGTTTAAGAACAAATAGAAGACCTTACGGTTAAAAGGCTGCATGAAGGAAGAATATGTGTTCTGAAACTGATAAAAATAAAATAACTTCACACTTGGAAAAATAGGACATGAAAAGAAAACACAACTCGTACTAGTTGACAGATGATTCCTCAACCTTCAAGCATTAAAACAACCAATTGGGTAAAACTTATCAAGCTAATTTCCCAGCAATTTGACTTTTTGACAAAAACTTATAACCTTTAAAACTTTTCTGTGCCTCCCAGAAAATACAGCTCTAGGAAGGGAGGAGTCCAGAAAATGACTCATGACGCCGACCCCATCTAGTTTGGATTTGAGACTTTGATGAGTTGAGATTGGTCAAAGAAAAAAAAAAAAAAAGAAGGCGTGGCAGTTGAGTGTAAGTTCATAAGCAGAACTTCTGCATAATGGTTTGACACTTGTGGTGAAAGCAAAAGACAATAAATGGTATCTTCTAAGCTTCCTCGATTACTTTCAGAAAAAGATGCCCTAGCTTAATGCAAAACAGATGCGGAAGAATTGGTCAAAGAAATGCAAATATTTCACAATTTAATTATCAAATATGTTTATCAACCTATCATGCAATCATTCTTCTGAAAGATAGGCAGTAAGAATACCTCTTGAAGTTCCTCTACTGCTTCATCAATCCCAGCCACATCACTAAATTTAACTCCTGTTGAACCCTGAAAGAATATTGAGCCAAAATGTTATAATAAATTCATGTACAACTTATTAAGATTGGAGATAACTGCAAAAGTGTCACGCTCAAAAACTAACATCAACTCGAGCTTCTGCTTTAGAACGTGAAAAATCAATTCCTTGCCATAAATCCTGCAAAACATGGATACTAGATCAGTTAACAGTCATTGACCAAATAAAAGGCATAAATTCAGAGATTACCAACCCTTTGCATATAACATCATAAAATGAGGGGCTGAAGCAACATTTACCCACTTCCTGAAGTTCTTAGGCCTTCTCGAAAGGGTGAAACGGACTAGAAGGACCATCGTCAAAAGCACAAGCATGATTGGTTTTAACATCTCAATGCTGGCAGATACACCACCAAAAGTGTAGAATTCATAGAACTTAGAGAAGAGCCCTCCATCACTGAAAATATCAACCACATAATCCCAAATTCCCTCTAAAATACCAAAGATCATACCAAGAAACAGTTTAACAAATGGCTTGGCTATAGGCCATGCAA